TCTGCCTAAAACAAGATGATTATCATGCCATTAATAATCGGTTTCTATGGTTTCATATCCCAAATATTTCCAAATCACATGTAGAAAAGCCATTGTTTTTAATGTCTAGCAATTTTGAATACCGGTAGTTACTTAGAACAGCAATTACTGTAAAATCTGTATTAGAAGCCTCGGCTTCTATTAAAATGGGGATGCGGCATCTACAAATATAACAAATGACAAATGTTTGGCTCTCAATTGTTCAAAAAGAATGGGATGACTTCTAATGGGAAAGCGGCTTCTAATACAAATTTTATGGTACCAAGTATTGTCTGTTATTTATTTATTTAATACAACCACAGCATCAGTTTGATGGATACCATTCCACATAACGCTACAATATTCAAGCCTGTTTCGAATATAAGAAAAATAAATAACCTTTAAGGTGTCAACATTCTTTATATTGTGACAATTACATTATATATCATATGGAGATATAAAATGGTTGTCCAAAATTATTAACAAATACTGATGAATACATTCTATTTTTAATGGAATAATGTTTTAAAAATTCATATAAAATTGTTCACGATGAGAACCATGTGTTGTCAGTGACTTGTTACCAAACGCTTCAGCGTGGTATTAAGAGTTTGTTTTCAAGGGTGGGTGATACCAAGGTGGGAAATGGATGCACATATGGGGTTAATTCCTTGAATTGCAATATAGAGGGTTCAGGCTGAAATACAATATATAGTGTTTTCATGTTTCGTCTGACATTTCTGTGGTATTCTGCTGCTGTAAGTAATGCACGATTTGTTCCGAAATTCAGTATGTTGTGTGCATTCCAGGGTTATTCGTTTTTTGCTGAAAACACCCCTATTTTTTAATGACAGAGTTGAATAGTTTTACTCCCACTGGAAAATCTGCATTGTTGCTTGAATGAGAGCTAATTAAACACATTTTCCCAGACCGGCGAAAGAGTATGCAACAGCCAATTTTAACAGCCTGATTTTACTCTGAATGTCAACATGAAAAGAGGCTAGTCCATTTTACGCAGGAGTAATTGGGAGTAGAATATGTGAGGGATAGTATCAACAGAGATGTGTATAGTGAAAAGTAATATCTATCTTTCTTTTTCATTGCTGAGCATTTCTGTTTTAGTATATTGGTTTGAAAATGTTGAACTTGCATGATTTGCAATGTGTTTTTTTTACTGGAACTCCCCTATTGATCGAATCCCGGGTTTGAACGAGAACGGCACACCACATGATTCGTTTGAATACAATGCTGATGGCAAACATGCCGTGCTACTGCGGTACTCCACTGACGGGATGACTTACTAGTACTGCATGC